TCTGTTTACTGCAGGAAGGAGGGACTGGGAGACCATGTTACTGACTGATCTCTCTATAGCAGTGATGGCTGTCACAATGTAGAGCCATAAAAAGTAGTTTATAGCAGCTTTAACCAGAACAAACTGTTAGCAATAGCTAACTAGCCAGCAGCTTCATTTAGCAAGCACACTGATGGTGTGCTAAAGCTAAGCCAAGGTTAGCCAGCCAAGGTTGCCATTAAACACCAAAAAAACCTAGTGCTGACAGAAGAAGTCCATCACAACAGTGTACCTCAGTGCTAGCTTCATGTTTCGGGTGTTCAGCAGCAGGACTGATGGTGCTTTGACTCAGACTATGACTGACTGGGATTATGCTGAGTCTACTACCGTTTCAAGACGATTATGAAGAGATTATGCACTAAAATACAGGAATAATGATTAGCACACACAGTTTGGGTGACTTAAAGGGTAAGGGTGTAAAGGGCCATGTGCCTTACATTACTTTTACTTTTTTACACCTGTTGTTTGTTGAACAGTTTTTAGATTGTTTTCCCATCTTTCAGTTGTTTGCAGAAACCGTTAACTATTCACTGTCCAAGTGACTGAAGTAGTAATGCAGTGCAGACATTTTCAAACCAATCGATATACAAATGTGTATATATATATAAAATATATATCATTTAATATAGTAAAGTGTCTTTAAGTCAAGTTTTCTCCACTTTACCAGTCAGTTGTGTTGGTTCTCAGAGCTGCAAATCATGAACAGGTCTTCTCCAACAGTCCAGCCTTCCTTGCTGTGGACTTTTTCATTGTGTGCGTGGGTAGTTTTAGGCTTTGCTGCTGCAGTAGTTTGTGTTGGTTGGCATTTTCTCCCACTGCTGGCTGTGCGGTGCTGACAGTTTCTGCTGCTTCAGGCTGTGTCCTTGCTTCTTTTAAGATCAAAAGCACTCCGTTCTTCTGTCCCAGAATGCACTGAAAACAAAAGCCTGGTCATAATCTTCCCTGAATCACCTACGGAGTCAGATGAGAACAATTCACAGCTGAGAACAGAATAAAATGCTAAAAAGAGCTTTAACAATTTAAGGGGTTTGTTTTCTACAATGCATTTTGCATTTAAAAAGGCTTTTTTAAGCATTCATACATTTGTCCTTCATTTCTGACTGGTGGGTGCTGAGGGAGTTTAACCCAAACCTTGTTAATGTTTAATGCTTTGCTGAATCCAAAAAAGGCAACCCAATGAGCTGCACTGCAAACACAAACCCTGCTGAGTGAGTAGGAAACTGGGTTACTGCTCTAATACAGCCACTGCATACACAGATACTACCGCCAATCTAAGAGAGAGAGCGAAGGCATGTATAAAATTAGAATAATGAGATGAGAAGCCAGAGTGAGTCAGCAAACGACTTTAGATAATATAGGAGCAAGGGAAGGCGATGATGCAAACTAAAGGGCGAACATAGAGAGAAGCAAAGAGTGACACAGATGAAAAGAAAGAGGGACAAAGAGTGCAAATGCAGAGAAAGAAAACAGAAAGAGAGGGATAAGAGGAGATGTGCCCAGAGCGCTGGTCCCATGAGTCCAGCTCATTCGAAACTGGGACTGCTGCAGAGTCTTTCTCTCCTTTACACGCTCACTCTGTGTGTCTATTAAGGGCAATAAAAATAACACAAATTTAGGACTCACTGAATCCCCATTGAACTGTTTGGAGGAATAAAGGTTAAATTGAGTATTGATTATCAGATGTTAACTCTCTAATCAGAGCAGTACTAGCGTGAAATGGGACCAGCAAGTCCATTGTTTTTTTTACTATACTGGTAGTCTAGTACACAGTGGTTGTATTCAAAACCACCTACTACATACTGGTGAAGCATGCAGTACATACATACTGCTTTTCATAATACAATGAATGGCAGGCATTATCGTGCTGACAATAATCCTAACCCACTGCAGTATTTGCACATATATAAAAACCTGCTGATATCCAAGTCTTTCATTATGTTTAAGAGTAGGTTTGTTTCACCTTACGATGAAATGCATATTCCGAATGCGTTATATACATGTCCAAAGAATGCTCCTAAAACCTGAATATCGGCACATCCCACATTAATCGGAAATAACGTAAATGCTGTTTACATAGTCCTTATCAAAGTGTGGAATATTGTCATATTCGCAATAATAGTGGAAACCTAGTCAATGTGATGCATGGACAGTGTGGTGGGGTTGAATGAGAATAAAAGCAGTAAAAAGCTCAGCCTAAAAAGACCTTTAGTGTTGAACCAAGATGCAGGAGAACTTAAGCTTAAGCCGTGTAACTCAACAATCCATGTTGGGTCTGGTAGGGAGGTAGCTGCGTTGCAGCTCCTCCCCATTTCCTCTAATCTCTACCATTGAAATAATTCACTCCATTACAGAGCACTAATTATCACATAAGGTGGTTTTTGTTAAGAAAACCAACAGTATTCCAGAACCAACTGGCTTACATTGGATACAAAAAAGGCTTTTCCCTGCTTTTTCTTTTTGAAGGTATGTGAAACTAAAAATCTGAAGAATAATA